CTATGACTCTATTTCTAGTAGTTACTTCTAGAATGTGGATTGAGAAAGGCCTCTGTTTTAGCTCCAAGCCCCTCAGCAGGAACAGGCCTCTTTCTTTGTAAGCATGTATGCCTTTCACTGTCAAGTAGAAACGCAGGACTAAGAAACGACAGGCTGAATGCAGCTGGTGGGTGGCAACATGCAAGCCAGGAGGCTCTGGGCTCATCGAGGCCAGAGCTTGGGGTCCAAAGTCTGAGTATTTCAGAGAAGATTGAGGGCCCAGGCTGTGCTTCCTACCACTTGTCCCACCGACCCCTATCACAATACCCGTATTCCAATGGGAGATGGAGAAGTGCTGGGGAGGCGAGAGAAAGCAGGAACCAGTGGAAAACGCCAACGTGATGGGATAAATAATACCCACTGCCCACAAGGGCCACATCTGAATCTCAGAAAAGCAACTCTGTTGTGATTACAGGAAGGCTCTTGAGTTGGGGAGGTCATGCTGGGTAATCTGAGGCACCGAGAGCAGAAAGAGTTGACTCAGGCTACTGAGAACTTGACTCTTGGAACAAGTGGGTCCATCAGGCCCAGCAGAAGATACCAACTGTTCCTTCTTATACAGCCCCCAGCTCTAATTAAAATTAGGAAATTTGGGCTAACTGCTTGATGGCCTTGGATAAGGCAGGGACTGACATTCTCTGGGGTCTGTTTTCCTATACTGTGTCAGATACCATTCCAGCCATGGCTAAGGTCTTTGTGTCTGCAAGGCACAACCATGACTTCTCTAAAGCTGTAGCAGTCCTGCCAATGAACGGGCCTCTGGAAGAGCATGGTTCCAATCAAGAGGGGAAGGACTGCTGGCGAGGAGGGCTAGCTAGGTGCAAACAATGCTATGTCCTAGGAAGCTTGTAGGAAAGACTGGGCATAGACAAGGCAGCATACACAGCCCGCCCTTCTTCAGCCCCATCCCTGTGCCTCCCCAAGAAGGCCTGGTTCTGCAAACACCCGTGAGGCAGCAACAGGACTACAATCCTCACTTTCTTGGCAAAGACTGATTTACACCTTAAAACAAGGAAAACATAAGCAAGTACCACATAGCCACAGACATAAATGACTTCCCCAAATGCACCAGATATCGGGGCACTGGTTTGGGCTGGGGTGACCTTCTCTTTGAAATGGGGCTCTGAAAGAGATGAGTCACCAGGCAAAGCCCTAAATGGCAAAACCAGTGGATTCCTAGGAATCTGAGTCACATAGACAAGTGACATTGCCACCAGGCTTGAAGGGTCATGAGGAAAAGAGAAACAAAGGGCCCAGGACACAGCCAGCAGCAGAATCAGTAGAAGACTCAGCAGAGACAACCTTGAAAGGTAAGCACACCTTCCCAGCAGGCTCCGACTTCCCATGCATTGGGGGGGGGGGAGGTGTTCTCCACCTGACATGAAGGGAAGGCCCACACTGTTTATGGCCTCAAAGACTGAGAGCAGTATCTGTAGCACTGTATCCTCTAGCCAGACCTGGCTGAGCACTACCAACCAGCCAGATTCTACGAGGCTGTGATTATTCATACAGACCACCTGGAATTTCTTACGGGGTCAAGCTCTGTTACCTGATGGATGGGGTAGGTTAAATGAGAAAGCCATTAAAGCAGGGAACTAAGTAAAGTAACTACACCTACAACAGAGGTGCCTATGCAGGAGTGAGCAAGAGGATTCGCCTGCCAGGGCTACTGGCTGCAGTCTGCCCTGCCTGGATAATCCACACTTGTAAGATGTCACCCGACTGCTGCTGCTGCTCTTAATGGAATAAAGAATACACTTACAATGTAGGCCTAGATTACAGGCTTTTGCAAGTTTTTCTTCTTGATTCCTCAAAACCATGCCATCCACATTGTCTCAACAATATTTTAGTGGCATAAACCTTTATCAACTTTTTTCCTAAGCATCTAACTTTCAATAGAAAAAAATATATTTTAAGAGATTACTAAGTGATTCAATCACACAATACAAGAATAGGTACAATGAACATCAGGATAGTATGAAGAAGAATGTTCCTCAGATATTTAAATACTTGGCCCCTAGCTAGTGGAACTCTTTGGGAAGGATTAGGAGGTATGGTCTTGTTGGAAGAGGTGTGTCACTAGGGGTGGGCTTTGAAGTTTCAAAAGCCCAGGTCATTCCCATTTAGTACCCCTGCTTCCTACTGGGAGATAGGGGTGCAAGCTCCTAGCTACTGCTTAGTGCCATGCCTGCCTGCCTGCTGGCCTGCTTCTACTATGATGGGGACTCTGCAACTATGAGCCCCAAACCAAACATTTATAACTTGCCTTGGCCATGGTACTCTGTCACCACAACTGAACAGTAACTAAAACAGCATCAGCTATTAGACTCCGGCAAATCCGAACCTCAGCTGTGGAAGCAGAGCATGGGCCCTCGGGTATTGTAGAAAAGTGTGGAATTTAAACTCTCAGCTCACCAGGTGATTCCAATGGAGGGCCCCAGCTGAACTAATGAACACAATGAAGCTACACACAAGTCATCTTCAAACCCTGACCACAATACGAGTTTGAATCCACTACAAAAATAGAACCTTTGAGCCATTCATTTTGGGGAAAAATAGCTTTACTATTTCTTTTTTTTTCAAAAATATTTATTATTATTATGTTTACAATATTCTGACTGTGTGTATGTCTGCAGGCCAGAAGAGGACATCAGACGTTATTACAGATGGTTGTGAGCCACCATGTGGTTGCCGGGAATTGAACTCAGGACCTTTGGAAGAGCAGGCAATGCTCTTAACCACTGAGCCATCTCTCCAGCCCTAGCTTTACTATTTCTAAGGTCATTAAGTTTTCTCCAGGTTGGGGTTGTAGCTGAGAGGGCATGAGCTTGCTTAGCATGTCCCAATCCCTGGAACTATAAAGGTTCTCCATTCACCCAGGTCATTTTGTTTTAACCTCCTACAGCATGCCCACAAGCTAAAAGAAAAGAAAAAACACAAGCACGTGAGCTCTGTCTGAGCATCCTCTTCTGCAGAGAGCAGTCGTCACAAGACCCAACATGATGACATTCACTTTCCTTCAAACTGAGTCCCAGGCTCTGTTCCATGTTGCTTGTTCGTATTAACTTATCATCATCCAGTCCATCCCATGAGGTATACAAGCTTACTTACAAATGAGAAACACAGGCACAGAATGGTAAGCAACTTGCGTGAGACAGTCGATTATGAAGCGGCACAGCTGAGAATTCTCTCAAGGAGTCTGCCTCTTACAGCATGCAATGCTACAACAGCACAGCTGGCATTGCTCCTGTTGACATTAACTCCAAACTTGCTTTAAGAGTTGTCACATACAAAAGTGACATATATTCTCTCTTCTGGGCTCATGCACAGAACACAAACCTTCCTACTAACTCTCATTTCTAACTTAAGCCAAGTCTCCTAAGAATCTGTGTCCACCAAACATATTGCTGCCAACATACATGAATTGTCTCCATATAATACATACAACTCAGTAATAAAAAGCCAATAGTATTTTAAACAGGCAAAGGATCTGTTATGTTGAACAGATCCAACACAGAAGGATGCACAAATGGCCACGTGGCAAAAGACGCTGTTAGTCATCATTGACATGCAAACCAATCCCACAGTAAGACACCAGTCGATTCACACTAGTAGGATGGCTAGGGTCACACAGATGACACTGGGGCTGTGGAGAGTGCTTGCAGGCCTGCGGGGACTGTCTTGATTACGTTAATCAAGGTGGGAAGAGCTGTTTGGGTCCTGGACTATGTATGAGGAGAAAGGGGGCTGAGCGCGACATGCATTCCTTCCTCCCTGCTCTTGCCTGGATTTGCCTCGCTGTTCCAGGTCCTTGCCACCTTAACTTTCGCACAACTGTAGAGCACACCTGGAACTGTAAGCCGGATAAATAAAGTCACTTTTGTCAGAGTGCCTTATCACAGTAACAGGAAACAAAACTAGGACAGTATACATGGACAGTATTTAGCCAGAAAAGAAAGTAAGATATTTAAACATTACTACCTTGATAAATCTTGACAACATTATGCTAAGTGCAGAAAGCCACATAAAGGGCTCATATTGTGCAATCCCATTTACATGAAAGGTTCAAAGCAAACAAATCCACACAGTCAGAAGCAGATTAGTGGTTGCCTGCGACTGAAGGTGGAGAGGGGGAAAGAAGGCAAGAGAGGCAGGAAAGGATTGCACAACTTCTGAGGGTGATGAAAACATTCTAAAACTGAGTCCGGCTCACCCATGCCTATAATCCCTGACCTGAGAAACTGAGACAGCAGGGCAGCTACAAGTTCAAGACTAGCCTGGCTAAACAAACAAACAAACCAAACAGTAACAACAACAAAATGTTCTATAATTGATTATATAACTCTGGATGTATGAAAACCCACAAAATACTATATTGTAAATGGATAAATTATATATAATTTCAACAAGGCCTTCCTTTAATTGTTTTTATTGGGCTATATATTTCCCCCCTGCACCTTCTACTATGATCCCCATACTCCCAATTTACTCAGGAGATCTCAACAAAGCCTTTCTTAAAAACAAACAAAAACGCACGTCCATTCTTACTGGCCCATGCACCTACAGAGCACAGAACTCTGGGCCAGTCCTGAGATTTGGGAACAGGGTGAAGTGGGAGGGGCAAAAAGCCCAGCCCTGCATCTTGAAGCCTTGTCAGCTCAGATCACCCCACTCCCCACTTCAGCTAGTTTCAGTCTCTGTAAAATGTCAGCCATTTGATCTACCAGACATAGTCAAGCAATCAGATGAAACCACGTGATGACTCTTGGCATGGTACCAGAAACACAGCAGGCATACTGTTTAAGAAAATGACCTATGTGTGAAAGTGCTGCAAAGCACAAAGACCCTTCATACATGTAAAGTGGCTTTATGATGTCACATATAAACATATAACCCACATTATAACTCATTATCAAAGGAAACCCATCTTCAATAGCATATGCTACTTCCCAAAGACTCACTTGAGCTCATTACCCCACTGCTTCAGAGAGTAAAAGTTAATGGAATTCGGAAGCCCTGGGGCTGGCTGGCGAGCAGCTCGGTCTCCCACCAGCTCTCCAGGGGCAGCTTCCACCGCGAGCACAGTTCTGGCTTTTTCCGCAGAAGGATTTGGGTGCTGGGAAATTATATCTGAAAGAAAGGTAAACAATTGTCAGTTACCCCAAACTTTCCCAGGAAACCTGTCATCCCACATAAAACACTGATTTGCCATACTACATAAGAATATCAGCCATATGTTAACAGCACATTTTGATGCATGCTATATAAAATCATAGTCTGTGGGTGGCTTGTGTGCTCATGTGCTATCTTCTAAAGTAGAGCCATGCTTCTCATAGTAAGGTGATGATGTGTTTCAAGGCTACCAAAATTAACTGTTGGTTCAGGGAGAGAGAAAAGGCACAATACCCCTCTAGTCTTATAGATCAGTAACGACATGACAGGATCCACTCACCTGTATTGATAAGGAACAATTTCCAGAGTTAAACTGCTATTTGAAAATAGGAAAGCAAGGATCAGCTTTGTACACTCTATTTACTCTGTTTCTTCTAGGGAAACGGAGAGATTACAGATATGAACATGTTTTCCAAACCGCAAACTGTGACAGTGAAAAAGTAAGTTTTATCACAGAACAGGATCTCAGCAAACTCACAGGCAAAAGCAATGACACCCAAACATGGTTCAAGTTCAAAACTTTTCCTTAAAATGTAAGCTTTGAGAATTGGAGAGTTGGCTCAGGGATAAAGAACACTGACTGCTCCTGTAGAGGGGATCTAAATTCAGTGTCCTTGCACCTACGCGGCAGTTTACTAGTCTGTAATTCCAGTTTCAGGAGATGTGATGCCCTCTTCTGGCCTCTACAGGTACTGTGGTCATGTGGAATACTTTCAAACATGACACACACACACTACACACACACACAGCCAAACACTCATACATACAAATAAAATAATTTAAAAAATGTAACTTCTGGAGATGTTGCAGCTTGAAATAATATGATGCTCAAGATTTATTTGGAAATAACAATATTTATAGCTTAAATAATATCTGCTTCAAGCAACATGTTAATTGTTTCAAAATTAGAAAAACAGGTAAGGGTAGGAAATAAAAATGTCATAAAGTAATAAAAATAGTAACTCAAGTCATCTAATAAACAGGAAGGTAACACTGTTACTTGTTTTACACCCTGATTAAAGAAATAATCCTAACAAGCCAAACATCTTGTATTCTTCCCAGTGGCAACATCTGAGAATAACGAATGTTTGTGAACAGAACTTCATGCTATTTCATTATAACCAACTCGGTCTACATGTCTTTTTAACAGTGTTCACAATATTACTATGAAAACACAGGTTGACTAGAACTGATAACTACTGATAGCCAAGAAGAAAATCAGTTTCTAATAGGACCAGCACTGCCCAGGGCTGCTTAGGACTGGTCTCCACAAAACGCTGGCCAAGAAAACAGGGCCCAAGAATCCTGGGCAGCGACTGCCCCTGGAGACGGATGTCCTGGTTGGGAATGTCTCCTCAGAGGCTCTCACTTTGTAGGCAGCTCACTGACTTGACTGCTGTCAGTGTCAGTGGGAAAGGCTCCAGAGTGCCCTGTAAAAGAGCCCCGAGGGTGACAGGAACAGGGGCTGCTGTCGGGAGAACAACACACAGCTTATATATACGCTGTCATGTCTCAAGCACCAAGTGCTGAGGGAATAGCACCCATGATACTGAGCTGCTACTCTAAAGGAAAACTAAGGAAGGTCAGCATGGCCAGCTCCCAGTCACCAGAGGATACATGGAGTTCTGGTGGCCAGACCCTTGCTCTGGGTCTTAGGGTTCCAGGAGATGCCTGGGGACTGATGGCGGGGGAGTAGGAAAAGCGCAGTGGCTGCTCTCTTCACTTAGATGTTGGGGTTCCCCTTAAGATTTCATTTGGAAAGGGGATCTAATAAGCAAAAGAAAAAAGTTCAGGCACCACGAATTCAGGCCACTCTCTAGCTACTGTGTCACGACACTAAATGCCCGAGCCAGGCATAAAAGAGTCACCTGTTTTGGCAGTAACACATACGGCTAAAAAGCAAAGAAGACATTGGTCAGCACCCGACAGTCAAAATATAGCAGGCACTTACCACCTGTTAGTACTCGCGTTAGTCCACGGGCACACAGGGATGGAAGGTCTACTCTTTACTTCAGGAAAGTCAGAGCTGTTCTATAGACTTCCTGAGGGCAGGCCTCTCACAGACCCAACTTGAGTGAGAGCATGGTTGTTCTAAGCCTAACCAGGAAACAAGCAACCAGCTGTATCCACAGCTACGCTCAGCAGGTGCAGTTCTTTTTCCTGTGTGGGCTGGCAGCGAGGTCATGAGGCCCCGCAGGAGCAAGCGCTATCATACTCTCGGATGTGACAAGGTACCTATTACCATGAAAACCAAGGGTTTGCGGCAAACCCCTGCCTACTCAAGGACTTTAGAGGAGCTGGAGGGTGCAGGGGCAGAAAAGGTCTACAGGGAGACCATGGAAGGCCATGCTGCAGAAATGATTTCTAGTGGGGTCTTGTGTAGAAATGATACTTTAAAGTCATCACTGTCTGAAAAAGAAGCGGCTTCCTGGCTGGGTATGCTTGCTTATTTATTTATTTGCTTATTAAATTTTACATGTTTGAGCACTTTGCCTACATATATATGTTTACCATGTACAGGCCTGATACCCATGGAGGTCAGAAAAGGGTGCCAGAACCCTGGGAACTGGAGTTATGAATGGTTGTGGATTGCCGTGTGGGTGTTGAGAAAATAACTCAGCAAGTGATCTTAATTGTTGAGCCACCTTTCCAGTCCTGAGTATATTTTTACAGCGACTGCAGCTTCAATTTACTTTTGCTTGTTTTTTGTTTGGTTTGGTTTTTAAAAACACTTCACCCAAAGTATAGCTGCTGGATTCTCTTCAGTATGTGCTCTGACAGCTGCATTCAGGAGGCCTCTAGAAGGAGAGCAGGGGACATGCCCTAACATTATTATACAGGGAGCCTAGGAAGAAACAGGGGGCTGGGAGCTGCTCGGAGCATGGCGCATGTTCTTTGGCAACTGCAGTGGGAAGAGAAAATCTGCCTGGAGGGTGTCTTCCATTCTTCTTAGGCATTTAGTGATAAACCTTGGAGAGCTGGACTACAGTACACTTCCTCGGGCCCTATTCTATGGCAACCCCTAGATTTCATTCCCTGCAATGTCCCAGTGTCCTGCCACAGCTCTCCCACAAAAGTGCTGATGCTCACCTGACCAGCCTGTGAGTCTGTTCCCTCCCTTCCTGCTCTCACCTTGCGAGAAACTTCTGCAGACAGCAAAGTGCATACATGTCCCAGGGAATCCTCACGGAGAGATGGCCATTTTCCCCACACCAGTGTGGGGGTGGGGGCAGGAACTGGCAACTCCACAGTAGGTGGGGGAGGACAGGATGTGCTGAATGAGGACTATGGGCTTGTGAGGCCAGCACTCCACCACGGAGCTACAATCCCAGTCCAGATTGGGGAGGAGTACGCGGTCAGGAACAGGGACACCTTCGTGAAGCTGTAGTTCCCATAGAGACGCAAAAAGTCAGGGTTCTGAGAGCCCCTGGGGAGGACCAGCCGATGTGACAAAGTTAAAGCTGATCCATCTGCTTATAATTCCCACCAAGAACACAGCCTGAAGCCTGGGGCTTTGTCTGATTCACTAAAAGCAAATAACACCGAGCAGCAGAGGGGTGCAGGTGAAATGGGTAACATGACCGGCCGAATGGCTAATGACAGTAAGTTGCTGTGAGGCGAGAACGGCTTCCTGTGGGCTGAGGAAATGACGCAGGAGGTGACAGAGGTTTCCACAGTTCTCAATGGACTGACACTCATGCTTTCTCCTGACTTTCCTCTTCCTGCCATTTCCTGGTAAGTTCCCTATAGTGATATTTATGTTTTAATAAATAAAAGCTTGCCTGAATATCAGAAGGGCAAAGCTAAGTCACAAGAGGTTAGGCAATGTGCCACACACCTTTAATCCCAGGATTTGGGAGACAGGCAGTTCAAGGCCGCCCTGGGTTACACAAGAACAAGGTAGAAAGAGATCCAGGTGGTGGTGGCTCACATATTTAATCCCAGTACTAGGGAGTCACGTGCCTTTAATCCCAGCACTAGGGGGGAATATATGATGGGAGGAGACAATGCTCAGGGCTCAGTCTGCAGTCGCCCAGCCTTGGTAGAAGTAAGACTTCTCTAGTGGCTTGGCTGTTTTGTTTTCTGGTCTTCAGCTTGAATCCCAATATCTGTCTCTGGGTTTTTATTAATTGTGCTACAGTTCTCTGAATTAGTAGGGGTGCACCAGACTCAGCTTTCCTCTCTCCTCCCCATCCATCCCTGATCTTCAGCAGTCTCAGGCCCAGCTGCCATTTATAGTACAGCACCCCTGTCTTCACTTGTACAGACTCAAACCCAGAGCCTGGCTCAGGACGCCTCCATGGGCCCAGACCCTGGCCAGCTGTGCACAGCCTCTTTTCACACCCCTCTCCTGGGTTTCCAGAGGCCTCTCCACACAGCTGAATTTTCACTCCATATCTCCCCCACAGCCTGACTTCCAAAGAACCTGGCTCTGAGAACGGCTCATTTCCCAGAAGGGGTTGCTGAGATGTGCTGAATCACAGTGATACACGCCTCTCAGAAACAGCGCTGCTATGACCATGGCTCATACGGGGAAACTGCAGGGTATTTTGTAGCATTTCACAAACAGGGTAATACAGACACACAACTGTGATCACTGCATAGGGCCGTGGCATTAGAAGACAACATGTGACTATTGTATGCTCCACCCACAGGCCTCCTTGCAGCCTAAAGGCCTAGTGCAGTGGTTCTCAACCTGTGAGTCACGATCCTGCATTCAGATATTTACATTACAGATCAGAATAGAAGGAAACTAGTTATGAAGTACCAATGAACATGACTTTAGGGGGGTCGCCACAACACGCAGCATTAGGAAGGTTGAGAACCACTGGTCTAGAGGAACCCCTGCCCACACTCACACAGACCTGCAGAAGGTGCGACAGTTACAGGAGGTGATGTCTTCTGCAGAGGAGGAAATGTGGTCGCCTCAAGCTGTTTTCACAACACAATTTTCTTAAGAAATACCAACCATGTGGAGGCACTCAGCACACTGAAACCGCGAGTCAGAGATAAGAGTCACCTGGCCCTGAAGTAAGATGTGGGGCTGGGAAGGAGAGAGGGCAGAGTAGGGTGAGGAATACCTCCATTGCCTGACGCTCAGGAAGTCTCACCAAGAGCAGGGTCCTGATGCCTCTGCTCTTTCTCTTAAGGTCTGTGGAGAATGCAGTGAACGAGTGGACTGGACATCTCCTTAAATCTGGATGCAGTGCTGTGCATTCTCAAGCACTATGGAAACCTGCAGGCAGACTCTTGGTTCCTAACGACCATGAAGATCTCTACATGTAGACAGTTGATTTTATCTTTCCAAAGCAGTAATTCAAAGCTAGGTCCTTATCCAACTGACTCTGGCAGACAATGGGTGGGGGTGGTGTCTAAGGCCCACCTCAGAAGCCAGGCTGTGAAGAGATGACAGAACACATAGAGGAAGAAGATCACCCCCCTTTCTAATACCTGACTGAAAAACTGAACAACCACACAAGAAACAAAAGTCTCTTTCGCCAAAGACAAGAAACACAGAAACAGAGGCAATTATGGGACAGAGCCAGTTCCCGACCAACTGTCCACGCTGCTTCCCGAGAGTCTGTGCGTCTTAGGATACACTCAGCTGAACTACTTGGCTCTCCTTATTTCCTTCTAACCATCTGATGTAGCCATGAGGAATGGCCACGTGAGAGTCACTGCTAATGAGAAGTGGAAGGTCTCTGTGAAAGCGTCCTCCTGTGATATGAGTGCCACCCCAGAGACAGTGAGCATGAGTCAGGAACTCAGTCCTATGCATGGGACAGTTAGACATGGCCGAGGAGTCAGCTCCAGCACCGAACTGTCCATAAGTTAGAAAAAGAAATAACGTTCTTGTTAATCCAGTTTCCTGTTAAATGCAGTGAAACATAATCCTCACCCATTTGAAGTCACATTACCAGGGGTACGTGTGTGAGCATGCCTGTGTGTGCAGGTACAGAATATCTCTACCCTCAGCCATGTGTTTTCCCTTCTAATCCCTGTGATGTGGAGAGTGGACAAATTTCATTTCCACGGCACAGTGTACACTCTTGCAGTCATGGGTAAGTGACCTGTTCAGAGCCTGATGATCAGAAAGCTTCCAGACAGGACCGCCTTCCAAGATAAATACTTAGCTCTGCGTGCGAAGTGTCAATTCCGTCTATGTTTCTCCACAGTGGCTTTAGGTGCCTGGAGAATCATGATGGATGGACACTCAAGACCACAAAGTGTTCAGCTGGGGGAGGTGACTAGACAGCAATAGGGCAAGTTTTTATGTTTCCTGGAAACCAGCGCTATGAAAAAGTCAAGCTAGTGTTAGCACAGTTAGCCACAGCTGACGACAGAAAATTAAAGGACATTGTCATATAACCACAAAATGTATCTTTTAACTTGTTTTTCCTTCTGATGATGAAACTAAAGGGCCTGGAATGCAGTTCTCTTTAAAATTTATGTGTATATGTCCACGTGCGTATATGCCATGTATGTACAGGTGCTCACAGGGACCAGAAATGGGCACTGGACCCTCTGGAACTGCGGTTACAAGCAGTTGTGAGCCGACCAACGTGGGTGCTGTTGTGAACCAAACTGAAGTCACCTGAAAGAGCAACAAGCATTCTCACCACCAAGCCATCCCTCCAGTCCCTGGTCTTCTTGGCTTTCTACTTGAGAATGTTTCACTTTCTGGATAGCTATGATTTTGAAAATGGCTCAGTGGTTCAAGGTTTCAATATTTGTTCTTCCTTATATTTCCTATCTAGAATTTAGAAGACATTTAAGGTTATTTCTATACAGATAATTTTCAAAACTCCACTGTGCTTTAGATTAAAAAAAAAACACCCCAATTTTTAAGGCCAACCAGCAAGCTCTCCCAGTCTGTTCCAGGTCTGGGTGGCCTCCGGGCATGGCTTTGCTGGCTCCTGCAGCCCTACTGACCTGTGACAATGCGGAAGGACCCTTCTCTGGCTCTTTCCTCTCCCTTTCTGTCTCTTTACTGACGGAGTCCCTGGCCATCTGTCCTTAGAGAGGCCCCGATAAGCCCGATGCTGAGCTCAGCCCAGCAAGGGCCCAGGCTGCCCTGTACTTCCCCCATTTGAACTTCTCGCTTTTCTCTGCACAAACACTCTAGCTCACAGAACACTTGAGGACGAGACTGAGGCCCACCTCAGGCACTTGCGGGATGAGCAAACAGCATGGCACAAACTCTAATTCCCATAGCTAGAGTACACAAACCAGGGGGGTACCAAATGAGACCTGGAGACGGCCACTCTGGCCCTCCAACCTCACCACTCGGGTTTGCAAGGAGCAGGACAGCCATGACAGGGGACTCAAGACTAGGTATGACCTCTTTGCCCTCCTTTCAGCTACACATCTAAGTCCTTGCTGGAGAGGAGTGATCTGTGTCCCCAGAGTGGAGGCAAGGGAGTCTGTTCAGTGCCAAAGGCATAAGCCACTAGCATGGAGGCTGCCCATGCCCCTACAGTTTCTTCCCAGTGTCCTGAGAGACCTTGAATATGATATAGAGCTTCTGTCTTGGAAAAGACATTAACAGTGACTTCCAAATACCTGTCTACAGGTTGAGAGCAGAGGCAGGAGGATTAGGAGTTCAAGGTCATTCTCAGCTACAGAGTGAGTTTGAAGCCAGCTTGGGCTATGTGAGACCCTGTTTCAGAAAAAAAAAAGAAACAAAACAAAAAGATAAAGATGCAGCTCAGTTGGCAGAATGCTTGCCCACCACACCCCAGGTCCCCATAAACCAACACAGTGGTACAAGCACATAGTTGAGGGGGGAGGATAGGAGTTCAAGGCTAGCCTAGATTACAGAGCCTGCCTCAAAACAATGAAAATAAAAATTAACTTATTAATCAAACCAAAAATAAGCCTCAGGCAACAGGAAGTCCTTTCTAAACTAGAGAGGGGCATGCACTTGAGCATAAAGAATTCCCTTCTGCTCCCAGGAGAACCAGACAAAGACTCCCAGGAAATCATCCACAGATACAAACACAGGCAGTATCAGGTAGGATCCTCTGACTCATATGGACAGTTGTTGAAAAATGCCCAACCAGGAAAAACACGGCAGGAAAATCCTAGTCTAACAGCTGCTAAGTGCCCAGAACTCAGATGCCACTGTCTTTGCTCTGCCGAGCAGAGGGTCCCACTTACTTTCCAGAGTGCAGACCACAGCTCTTCACAGAAATGCTAGAACAAACCCTGTACTGGTTTTAATTGTCATGTGCATTCCTTTGTAGTGTTAGTACAGGCCAGGCATGGTGTCATACACCTTTAACTCCAGAACCAGAGGCAGACATAGGTGATCTCTTGATTTAAATAGTGAGTTCCAGGCTAACCAAGGCTACATAGTGAGACCTTATCTCAGTAAGAAAGCCTAACTAAGAATGCTACTGCAGTGCTGGCAAGATAGCTCAGTGGGTCAACATGCTTGTTGCTGAGGTTCATGACCTGATTTGGATCCATCTCCAAGAACCACATAGTAGAGAGAGAAGTGACACCTGAAAATTGTCCTCTGACCTCCACATGCTCACTGTAGTACATACAGGTGCATGCACACACGTATACACACATACACACACATGTAAATATAATTTTTAAATTGTTAGTACAATGCCCTGGCCATTTTAGAGTTCACTTTAGAGCTCCAGGCTTGTTCTAACAAGCTAACAAAGAAAGCCACAAGAAACGGTCTCACATTATAGCCTTCAGAGGGGGAGAGGCAGGTTTGTAAGATGATCTACAAATAGTTGTCCCATTCTTTCTAGAGGGCTCAATACAATCAACAATCACGAGAAGATCATGGGGCTTAAGTTTTGCTTTTCAAGTACAAAATTACACCCCCTCTAGGGTGCAAATGACCAGGACAAACTAGGACCTATGAAAATGCCATGAATCTGAAATAAAATCAAATCAGTGCTTGGCTTTCAAGGCCTTCCTAAGAAATACTAGAAAACAACCAGTGGAATGCGGTTACTTTCTTGGCACATTCGAAATGCAATGTGTCAGGAAGTTGGCCCAAACATGAATACTTAGGTGAGTAGACGTTAGGCTAGCCTTGGAGCCAGACCAGAAGGTATATGCTGTGGGTCATGATTTCAGTTATACACAGGTGTTGCCCTCTACGATCTCTGCAATATGCTTGGTATTAGCCCTATCTGACACCCAGGCCAGCACTCGCTTGAAAATGGCTCTCTCACCTGGCATGGTAGACTGCAGTCCATTCATAAGGGATTATCATTATTTTCATTCTGAATTCACTTCCACTCATGCTAAAATGAAATGCTGTGTCAAATGGCTACTCTGAAAGAACACATGGAGCCCCCCCCCCCCCCCCCCCCCGTGTCTTACCTGTGTTATCTCTGGCTACCAGGCCCTTAGGAAAATCTCCAGGAGTTGGGGAAGTCCTGCTGTCCCATTTCACCATGTCAAGGCTGTTGCAATATTCCCATCTTTTCTGTTGAAGCTCCTGTAGCCAGTAAGTCATGAGCTCGCGATTAGGAGCCTAGAATGAGGGAAGGGAAACCTTGTTATAGCCACGAGTAACATAAAGACCTAAAAAGCATCTGTGTACTAACTGCACATATGGAAGAGAACAGCATTAAGAAGAGAGCAACTTGGTTGTCCAGGAGAACACTATGGTAAAGCCTTACTGCTGGAAAACTAACCACACACTTCAGATACAGAACACAGAGAAACAAACTGAACTGAGCGCAAGCATCCTTCCTGCTAATTAGCTTTTAGATTGCTAGGCTAGGCTGCTAGGGGAGAAAAGCCAACTGCAGTATTACAGATGTGAACCCCGAGAGGTACAACACCAACCACAATATGCGGACTGCTGCAAGGTTGGCAAGGTTATGATGGGAGGAACTGCAGAGGTTTGAGAAAATGGCCCCCAAAGGAGTAGCACTATTAGGAGGTTTGGCTTTGTTGGAGTGGGTGTGGCCTTGTTGGAAGATGTAAGTCACGGTGGAGGCAGGCTTTGGAATCTCGTATATGCTCAAGCAACACTCAGTGTCTCAGACCACTTCCTGTTGCCTGTATGTAATTCTACAGCATCATGTCTGCCTGAATGCCACCATACTCCCAGCCACCATGTCGCACCATGATGATAATGGACTAAACCTCTGAAATTATAAGCTGCTACCTCAATTAAATGCTTTCCTTTATAAATGCTGCCATGGTCATGATGTGTCTTCACTGCAATAGAAACTCTAAGACAGTAACCAAACACTTTTTGTTAGGATTTGAGGCCTGCTCCATAAGAGGAAAGCCATGCCTAGTACTATAAACCTAGTCAAGAGCCTCTGGCAGAGGCAGGCACAGGCTCTAGAAAGGAACCTTCTACTATTGTTTTGCCTGAAGCCCTAAGTTTGAACCCACATAAAGTGGAAAGAGAGAAGCAATTCCCATAATTTGCTCTCTGACTTCCACATTGCACCACTGCACAGTGCGCTCTCACAAGCACCAAGAATTCACAGATGCACAACAGCACTTTAGATACACAGATACAGACAGACAGACAGACAGGCAGAGGAAGACCTCAGTCAGTTACAGACGAGCAGCTCTTGCTTCATGACTGATCTGAACAAACAGCAATTCTAATGAAAGATTTTAGCCTAATGGATAAGAAATCGTTTTTAAGTCTAAAATTAGAGAATGATGAGATATAACAGTTTCCTCCAACATTTTTGGGAAGGACGGGCCCTGTTCTTTTACTCTAAACCTATTTGCTAAAAATTCACCTCAAGAAACCCAATTTAAGTATAAGTATGGGTGGTATACTTATGAATGGTGTGTTTGCCAAACAACAAGTCACATTAACTCTGCCACCATCCAGGAGTATAAAGAGAAAACTGCACACTGTAAGCCAGATGTTACACCCATTAAGATGGGTGTTAGTCACTTACTCAGTTTTTGAAACAGGGCTCTCTATGTAGCTCAGGTTGGTGTTGAACTTACTATGACCACAGTACCTCAGTCTCCTAAATTCTGAAATTACAGGTATGCTCACTGTACTCAGTTTAGAATGCAATGTTTTATCTTGTAGTATGGTATACTGACAAAGGTATAATGCAACTACAACTTTCATAAACTGTGGTGGACACACACAGTTCCTTATGAAGTCACACGTACAGTCATCGGGTGACACTACCGCCTCACTTCTCATACATGCCCAGGAGGAGTAAGAACTATGGTGACACAAAAGCTTGTATGTGAACATTCATAGAGCTTTATTCACAGCTGCTAAAAACTGTCAGCAAGCCAAAATATACACCATCTGGTGGATGGACAAACAGACTGTGGCATATCCACACAACAAAAGGGACAAACTATGGACTCAGAAAATATATGACTATCTATCATAAGCATACTGCCAAGAGGAAGAAGCCACATCACAAAGGTAACATGTCTCCAAACAATCAAAAAGGGCAAACTTATAAGGACATAAGCAAACCCCAAATGTGGGGTTTCTAGGCTTGAGGGTGAAATGGGAATTGACAAAAAGAGGCAAAACTAGAGAAACAGGGATGATGGAATTATCCCTATTATAACCATTATGGCAGTCATGATTCTATGCACTGATCCAAACCCATAGAACTGTATACCCAAAGAGTGGATTTCATTCTGTAACATGAGTACCTTAAAAAAAAGAAAAAGAAAAGATCAATCAAGAACTGAGGGGATGGATCAACGGGTAAAAGTTCTTTCTTCATTAACATGAGGACCTGAGTTCAAAACTCTAGAACCCATGTAAAAAGCCAGGAATAGTCATTTATAACTGCCTGTAACCCTAGCGGCATGACAGTAGGGACAGGAAACCAGGAGGGCTTGCTGGCTGCTAGTCTAGTTCAGAAAGAGACCTGTCTTCTCAAGTGAATAGGTTGGAGTGCGATAGAGAAGGACATTCAATGTCCTCCTCTGGTACATGTAAAAGCATGTGACCCACATACATCACAGACGTGAATATACTACACATTACACATATATATGTGCACATACAATGAACCAAGGTACAAGGGACCCAAACTATGAGCCACTGCAAATAGACAATGTTGGTCACAAAGCTCCAGGCTGACCCCTTGCAAGAATAAAAATGCTATGCCACCACGGTGGGAACTTTGCTGGTGAAATTGGGGGTATGTGTGCTAGAGAATAATCTTGGGGAGGAGAAGGAAATCAATTCGTCAGACCAGAGCTGACACTTGGGATACACCTGCTGATAGGGACTCTTCACTGACCTCTGTAGAATCCCCATGGGAAATCTGCTTTTCCTCAAGAAAACCTTTTCTTCAGTCTCTGAAGAGTAAATATAACTAGGAACAATTAGAAACACACTGGTCATCTCTCATTGAAGTCCTGGGGCAAAAGACCTTTACATTCCTTTGTGCTTGGCTTATTATCAGGTCGCAGAAATCCGGCCAATCAGGCGTCAAAACTACCTTGAGGCAGTGATTATCAAGGGTTTGTTGACTTTTTAAAAGAAATGTAGAACTCAGGGCCAGGGAGATGGTTCAAGGGTAAAGGGCGTGCTGTGTAAGCAAGAGGAGAGGGTTTGTGTCTCCAGAACCCAAATAAAATCCACGTAAAGAGCGTGGCAGCTGCTGTAATCCCAGCACTCGGGAGGCAGAGAGACAGAATCCTTTGCCAGAGAAGGCTGGCTCGCCAGACTCTCTGGAACCTGTGAGTTCAGGGCTCAGTGAGACATCCTGCCTCAATAAACAAAACAGAGTGATAAAGGAAGACAACCAGAGTGGATGTGATGTGAGAGACGAGGCAGACGAGGACTGTGTAGGCGCAACTGTCACATGGGAGCCAACTAATGCCTCAAAGAGCTGTGATAGAAAATTCCCGTTCTGAGGACAGAGCCTGGCATTTAGTGGAGGAGGAACTGCTCCTGACAGCTGCCTACCAAGTGCTGTGTGATGCTCCAGCTGTGCCTAGGCCACGACAGCATCGAATCCTGGAGGCCACTCACGCATGGATGAGTCAGGCCCTGGCCCTTTCTTCTCTTGGACCCCAAGGGCTGCTCTCTCTCCAACCTAGCCGGCTTCCAATGCAGTGCTCAAAATAATAGTACACCAAGTCATTTAACCCCAAGGTTGTTGGTTTCATCAGAAATTTCTTTTTTTAATTAAAAACAAAAAGGGAAGTTTCAAAAGAATTTACTGGCCATTTTGCATGCTGGCAGTCCAAATATAATGTATGTTGTATGAAACAGAAACTTATTGATCCTTTTGCCTGTCTTAGACTTTTATATCTGTAACTGCAAACCTTTTCGGCAGACCTTTTAAGGGCCCGCCACAGCAGGAAACATTACTGGGGAGCTTGGTGGTGATTTAGCAGCAAAGCCAGAGAGCTGGGTTTCACCAACTAGCACAGTCTCCATTATGACTGCCTCACCTCAGTTGTTCACTCCCTGGGACTCCAGCCCTCCAGTCCAGAATGTTCATCTATCAAAACTCAGTACAGGGACTGGGGAGATGGCTCTTTGGGAAAGTACTTGCTTTTTAAGTATGACGGCCTGCATTTGATCCCCAGAAGCCACATTACAAAAGAGAGGAAGGAAAAGAAAAAGGGGGAAGCAGCAGCAGCAACAGGGCAGCATGTTTGTAATCCCAGTGCTGGGGAGGCAGAGCAAAAAGATCCCTGAGGCTTGCCAGTCTACCCTACTTCAGGCCAAGGAGAAACCTGGTGTCAAAAACCAACACACACACACACACACACACACACACACACCCCTACAAAACCAAACAAACAAGCAAACAGGCCGGGCGGTGGTGGTGCACGCCTTTAATCCCAGCACTCGGGAGGCAGAGGCAGGCGGATCTCTGTGAGTTCAAGGCCAGCCTGGTCTACAAGAGCTAGTTCCAGGACAGGCTCCAAAACCACAGAGAAACCCTGTCTCAAAAAACCAAAAAAAAAAAAAAAAACAAAACAAAACAAAACAAAACCAAGCAAACAAAAAGAAAAGGTGGAAAGTACCCAAGAACAACAGCCAATATTGGCCTCTGTATGAATACACACACATACACCTCTGAAGATATGGTGCCAATGTCTGTTTCTCTGACCCCCCATACATACATACTCATACTCATTCAGTACATTTAGAAACCATAATACTTCTCTGAGTCATGACCCCATTCCTAGGAATTGATCCCAAGCACAGCCAAACAGGAAAAGGGGACAATGGCATGTGCATTAGAGACTGACAAGGACCACACCCTAGCAGTCAGCAAGGGACACAGGTCTTAAGGAGACCCCTTGATTCCTGTTGCCAAGTCACTCGGAAGGCAAATATTTTCTTCAACGCAGCAAATAATGAGGCACATGTTCATCACAGCCAACATAAAATGCTCAGGTGGTTGGAGGTAAGACAAAAGACAGATTTTTTTGCATATTAATTCACTGTCTTCTCAGATTGTTGACTTTCTAAATAAAGCAGTTTTAAAAATTAAAAGAAAAAGAAAATCCAGCTATATAACTGAGACATCCTTCATTCTA